GCGACCGGCGGCGATGGACGATCTCCGGCGATGGTTCGCGGCGGAGGACGGTGGTGATAAGATGATGATGATGACCGAAACATATATATTGGAAAGCGCAATATATTGTACCAAAAAGTCTTCTAATGGATTACCTAAACACCTACTTCGATCAAACTTGGGGGAGCGTTTAATCGAATCTCCCTAACTCTCAAACGATGTAATTCTCTCGTGTATGTAGTAGAGAAAAATCGGCCAAGACAACATTGTAGGAGAGGTTGGGACATGGTGTATTTATAGGCTCCATTAGGGACCTTAAGGAGGTGCTAAATATGGGCTTATTCCATTAGGCCTAGGAATCCTAATTCTACTCCAATACTAATTTAATGTAGGAAGGAAATCTCCTACTAATCTCCTCCTTCTAGAAGACTGCTAAGTCTCCTAACAATAGAGAAGATCCTTGTAGGAATATCTTTCCTAATTAAATTAATAACCATGGAACAAAATTAATTCCTAATTTAGGAAGCCTAATTTTAATAATATAATTGTAGTGCCTCGTTCGTTTATTATTATATTCTGAAAATTTTATTATTATATATTTACTTATAATTGATTATTTGCCTTTGCTTCATTTATTTGCGGGTTATTTTATTAACTGCTCGTCTCTTTTATATGTTTATTTATTTAATTGTTATGTGGCTCAATTTATGTGAATATTATGTGTTTATTTATTATTTATTTTTCTGTTAGAATTATTAGGATGTATTTGGATTAGAATTTATTTGTTTGAGCGATTTCCGTTTTAATCGCTTAATCTGGATTTAATCCGTTTCGATTTGTTTCCGAGCTATTTCGACCCGAACCTCTAATATTATATTTAGCCCTTTTTGGATAAAAAAAAAATCAGCCCACACTTGTTAAATTTTTCGGCCCAACAGCAGCCTATATAACCCTTTATGGCCAAGCCCTAATTTTCTCCTCTCCATTATAGCCGAGAGTGAGAGAGAGCCGAAATCTTGTTCCCTATTCTTGTTCCAGAACACTGCAAATCGCCCCTCCTCTACTCCCTCCTCAAAATTTCCATCATCTATCCCCCTTCACGGCAGAATCGAGCAAAATCCGACCGGCCCATCACCTCCGGCGATCAAACAGCACCAGGGGCGAACCGAGGGGCACCATTTTCACCGGTAACAGCCCGCGAGCGAACACCCAACGACCAGTGTTTTACGACCTTCGTGCATCTGGGCGATTTTGGAGACGTCGAGCAGCAGTCCTCCACGGCCGAGCAAATATCTCCGGCGACCGTTTGTAGCAGCATCTTCTTCTTCCATGCGGCCTGAGCCTGCAAGTTTTCGTCGGCCATGGTGAGCAACAACAGGCGAGCTTTCAGGCGATCATCAAGCAGTGACCGAAAATGATCTCTGTCCAGCGAATTGCAGCAGGATGGGGTTTCTTGAGCGGCCAAGACAAGCTCCCTCACAGCTGAATTGAACCAGATGTTGGACGCGGCTTGTTCGGACGAGTTCTTTCGATGTCGTGCACCGTGTGTGGTCTGTTCAGCCTTGTGCAAGAAAGTACCCTGAAGGTATCCAACAAAATGCTTCAGCGAGCAGCCCGGCTGTTTCCGGGGGTAGGCCAGGGGTGTCGTCGACGAATGAATAAGCAATCGAGGGCCACCTGGCTTCCGGCGGACTACTGAACCGATCAAGTGACACCCGGCTAAGGGCAGCAACAAGACAAGCCGTCTCCGAGAGCCGAGAACTAGCCGAGAGCTTTAGTCGTCACAGAATCTATTCTTCCCGTTTCTAGTCCTGAGGAAGGTAGATGGCTGATACTTATGCTTTTTGTTTTGCCCGAGTATATGAGGTGTTGTCATGTTTGCTTATGGCCGAGATTATATGAATTTACATACTCCATTTATGATAAAAATTTGGTGCTGGAAATTAGTGTTTGGAATGTTATTTTCAGCCCAAAATTATTGGTATGATTGGTTAAGTTCAAGGTAAATATGATCATGTTAAAGCCTTGATAAGATTGAATATGTTGAGCCTTGATTATGTGGTCTATTCGCTGCTAATTCTTTGGACATTTTAGAGGTTAAATACTCGGCTATGATGCCTATTTGATGTGCTAAGACTTTGCTATTTGAGTATGGAAGGACATAAATACTTGACCTAGGTGGTGTTTGCCTTGGATTAAATATTGTAGCATGATAATATCTATACTGTTTGTATGTTAAATATTTTGAGCAGAAAACACGTATTGAGGTACTAATTTTCAGCCTAAGTTATATGCTTATGTAAATTTGGAAAGAGAAATGAGATATGTTTATGTGCTCATTTGAACCATATGTTAGCCATGTTGCTGAACCTTATGTGATGTATCTATCATGCTGGAAATTGAGTAAACTTAGAGCTTTTATTCTAGTTACTTTTTTAGCCTTTTATCATGTGTTATTGAATTGGAGAGAGAAATGAAAGGAATTGAGGCATGTATACTGAAAAATCTTCGACATATGAATGTTTCTAATTTTGCTGTAGATCTTGATCATGCCTATATTAAATAATTTTTAGAGCCTTGCATGAAGTTCTTAATGCCTTTAATGTGACTATTTGGTTGTTTGGTTTCACAATGATTTTCATGAGGTTGAATATGATTTTATGAAGTGTTTAAGGTGCTTAAGTTTCAACTTAATTGGTGATTAGCATGTTAAGTTTAGAAGAAGAGCATATATGTATGTTTTGCTTATAATATGAGACAAGAGCATAGGATAAGGGAGGCTAGTATGTTGATTGATGCCTCGTTGATTTTTGTTCTTGTTGTGTGTTATGCTTGCCGTTGTGTGGCATAATCAACAAAATCAAAACCCCTAACAATATTAATAATTAAATCCTTGATTGTTAGGTTTCTGAGGAGTCGAGCCCTCGAACCTACCGTGAGCTTTTGCATAATTTTCAATGCCGGATCAGGTGGGTTATTCAAAATTTGTCTATGCCTTGAATGATAATTTCTTTATTTATGTGGGTATGATCAATGTATGCATGTGAGCATGTAATCTTCGATGTGAGTTGTACCGGCCGTCGAACGGTTATCCCTGTAGCTATAGAACGTACCCCGCAAGGGTAATCTCCACGTTTGTCCTTTGCTAAGGACCACGTCATCTGTAAGACCTTGGCAATGTGCCCTGGCCGGTGATGGATATCCTGTCCAAGCACTAGGTGCGTGCTGTGACGGTTGAGCCTCCTGCTGTTTGGGCACCCCATTTATGTTCGCCGAAAGGCATACGAACAGCAGTCTATTGTTATAGGTGTGCACATGAGAATTACTTTGGTTAGGAGATGGGATATTTATTGACTATGTTCATACTGCGACCATGCCATTTAATTTCTCGTACTTTATTATTATTCATGTGCATAGTAGAGAGCACTACAGTTCACCGTGCTCACTCCCACCTGCTCTTCATGGATGCAGGTTAAGCAGGTGTTGGCTGACGAGATAGAGACGAGTGGTGTTGGTCTTTGATTGACTTCATTTAGTTTATTCCGCATGGTAGTAGACTTGGGTTTATTTATGCTTATTCATGATTTGAGAACTTTGGTATTTATGATTTATGACTTTGGAATTTTGAGAACTTTGGATTGGGAGATGTTCCCTATAAACAATTTAGATGAAACTGGGATTTATGAAAACAAAGGATTTATGATTTATGATTTATGCAAGTGTGATTTATGTTATTATGTAATTTAGTTCGAGTAGCGCCACTGATTTATGAAAAGAAATCTTAAAAATTTAAGTTGACTTTTTGAAAAGCCTTTGACTTTCGCAAAATAAAAAGTGGGGCGTTACAGTTTGGTATCAGAGCCAGTCTGCGTTTCTGTAGACTGCTCAATGTGATTTATGTGCATTTATGAATATATGAGTATACGCATTGACCACTCGTCTTCGTCATGCCGCACCGCTTGAGGTATGTAAGTCATAAATAATGCTGAGATTATTTATGAGATGATTGTTTATTTAAACTATGTGTTATGTCTTGGGGCTTAGAAAAAAATCTATCCACCTTCGATTGGCTTGAACTCTAGTATTTGTTGGCGAACTCTAGAATTGTGGCATATATATATATTAGTATTGTTTCGTGTTAAGGTCAGGCTTTGGCAATCCTTTTCTAAAAGTGTTGCTTAGTGTCTTCAGGCGAGGACCATTATCGATAGCAGGACTAACCGGGGATGACTTGAATCGGTTGTGGAGAAGTTAATCGTGGACTCGTGTAGCCACACCAATTTTGTTTTCTTTTCCTAAGTTTTTGCTTTCTCAGAAACTTTGCAGACCTTCTTTTATTTTCCTTTTGCGTGGAAGACAGTTTTGAATTGTGTTTGAGACTCCTTTATTTTGCTCAATTTCAGTACTTTGGAATTTTGGTTGCCTTCTCTTCCTTTGCATGGGATGATATTTCAGATGAAGTTAAACATTTTAATTCTTTGATGATTCTTATCTATCCTCGTAAGTTGACAAATCCTGTTTTGTGATGTTTCTAATTCAATATGAAGTTGGGGAGTCGAATAGTGTTGTTCCACTTTAAAAGATTTTGAGAATCTTTTTAAGGAAGGTAGCCGTGCCTGGTGCAGTCACATAGTGAAGTACATGGTCGTCTTCGCTTTTGATATTCGAAATTGTTGAAGCTCATTTAGGACTACCGACACGGTTAGCTACTTGAGCAAGAGCTGCCGTGACGGCCGACACTGTTTGTCGGAAGAGTCGGATGAGCAAAGCGTTTCATTATTCGGTAGTGAACGCTATGTTTGGGATTATTCCCGGCTGAGGAACCGATCCTCGTTTCTTTGGGTAGTTTTACCCGACCTCTATCGTTGTTTGTTCGATGAAGACTGTGTTGATCAGGGAAGGTGGTGAACTTGGAACTCGGTTTATGCCTTATTAATTTTTGAGACCCTTGAAACTAATGTAGTTGTTCTATACCTACATGATGGGGGAAATCGTTTTATGACATAAACTCCAAATTGTAGTCGTTCGAAAATTTTGTGAAAAACCCTTTTTCCTTCCAGTTACCTTGGAAATATTTACCTTTGATTTGGAGAAGTTCTTCTCAATACCTCGAACCTAAGCCGGCCCTGGCCGGGTGTAGCTACGCGAAGTGGTGGCCGAGCACGCATGTCTGTGCTGAGAGACGTGAAGCTAGTGCACGGCCGACCGTTGACTCGTACGTGACCTGCAGCCGCCATCACCGAACGCCAAACTCATCATGCCAGTACGTACGGCCAAACCTTGACATTGCAGTTGCTCTCTGAACAGTTACACACCCGCGTCCCAGCGCCCCGCTTATGCAGCGCCAGCGAGTGTGCCACCTCTCGGGGGACAGTGCATCGACCATACCGTTGATTCATTTTTGAACCGTTCAACCAGTTTCTGTACCGGAATGTGATGGGAAACCCCTTGAACTTTTTCTCCTGAACCTTGAACCGAGAGCTCCAAGTTCCACCGAACCAATGTATGAATTGCCTAAATCACTTAATGCTTGATTAAGTGAGTTTGTTGATTATTGCTTAGCCGTGAGAGGGATGTCTCCCGAGACGACAAGAATTTGAGGTGTTGCATTGTCGAGCGGAGTCTCGAGTCTTGATTGGAGACTATGTAATCACCGTGAGATTGATGTTGGTGTAAATGTCTTCCTGAAGGTCGCACCCCTGAGGAGTGTGATTCGCTTCGGGAAGAAGAGAAACTTCGGCCTCGCTATATCGGACTCTTTCAGTATCTCGCACGAGTCAAAGAATTGGCCTACCGATTAGCTTTACCGCATGTGTTGTCGGAGTGTATGACCCCAAACACGTAGTGGACTTCGTCGAGTTGCAGGTCGAGTGAGGCCTTATCTATGAGTAGGTACCGGTGTTCGTACTAGACCGGAAGGTTCATCAGCTGAGGACCCGGGCAGTTGATCTTGTCGAGGTGCAATGGAACCGGCACGGCAAGTCCAAGGCGACTGGGAGACTGAAATCCGGATTAGGAGGAGATATCCGAACTTCATGTTTGATGTTGTATTTTAGAGTTTGGATGTTTTTATTTTCGAATTCCGAGGACGGAATTCCTTTTAAGGTGGGTAGATTGTAGCGCCCCGTTCGTTTATTATTATATTCTGAAAATTTTATTATTATATATTTACTTATAATTGATTATTTGCCTTTGCTTCATTTATTTGCGGGTTATTTTATTAACTGCTCGTCTCTTTTATATGTTTATTTATTTAATTGTTATGTGGCTCGATTTATGTGAATATTATGTGTTTATTTATTATTTATTTTTGTGTTAGAATTATTAGGATGTATTTGGATTAGATTTATTTGTTTCAGCGATTTCCGTTTTAATCGCGTAATCTGGATTTAATCCGTTTCGATTTGTTTCCGAGCTATTTCGACCCGAACCTCTAATATTATTTTTAGCCCTTTTTGGATAAAAAAAAAAAAAAATCAGCCCACACTAGTTAAATTTTTCGGCCCAACAGCAGCCTATATAACCCTTTATGGCCAAGCCCTAATTTTCTCCTCTCCATTATAGCCGAGAGTGAGAGAGAGCCGAAATCTTGTTTCCTATTCTTGTTCCAGAACACTGCAAATCGCCCCTCCTCTACTCCCTCCTCAAAATTTCCGTCATCTATCCCCCTTCACGGCAGAATCGAGCAAAATTCGACCGGCCCATCACCTCTGGCGGTCGAACAGCACCAGGGGCGAACCGAGGGGCACCATTTTCACCGGTAACAGCCCGCGAGCGAACACCCAACGACCAGCGTTTTACGACCTTCGTGCATCTAGGCGATTTTGGAGACGTCGAGCAGCAGTCCTCCACGGCCGAGCAAAAATCTCCGGCGACCGTTTGTAGCAGCATCTTCTTCTTCCATGCGGCCTGAGCCTGCAAGTTTTCGTTGGCCATGGTGAGCAACAACAGGCGAGCTTTCAGGCGATCATCAAGCAGTGACCGAAAATGATCTATGTCCAGTGAATTGCAACAGGATGGGGTTTCTTGAGCGGCCAAGACAAGCTCCCTCACAACTGAATTGAACCAGATGTTGGACGCGGCTCGTTCGGACGAGTTCTTTCGATGTCGTGCACCGTGTGTGGTCTGTTCAGCCTTGTGCAAGAAAGTACCCTGAAGGTATCCAACAAAATGCTTCAGCGAGCAGCCCGACTGTTTTCGGGGGTAGGCCAGGGGTGTCGTCGACGAACGAATAAGCAATCGAGGGCCACCTGGCTTCCGGCGGACTACCGAACCGATCAAGTGACACCCGGCTAAGGGCAGCAACAAGACAAGCCGTCTCCGAGAGCCGAGAACTAGCCGAGAGCTTTAGTCGTCACAAAATCTATTCTTCCCGTTTCTAGTCCTGAGGAAGGTAGATGGCTGATACTTATGCTTTTTGTTTTGCCCGAGTATATGAGGTGTTGTCATGTTTGCTTATGGCCGAGATTATATGAATTTACATACTCCATTTATGATAAAAATTTGGTGCTGGAAATTAGTGTTTGGAATGTTATTTTCAGCCCAAAATTATTGGTATGATTGGTTAAGTTCAAGGTAAATATGATCATGTTAAAGCCTTGATAAGATTGAATATGTTGAGCCTTGATTATGTGGTCTATTCGCTGCTGATTCTTTGGACATTTTAGAGGTTAAAAACTCGGCTATGATGCCTATTTGATGTGCTAAGACTTTGCTATTTGAGTATGAAAGGACATAAATACTTGACCTAGGTGGTGTTTTCCTTGGATTAAATACTGTAGCATGATAATATCTATACTGTTTGTATGTTAAATATTTTGAGCAGAAAACATGTATTGAGGTACTAATTTTCAGCCTAAGTTATATGCTTATGTAAATTTGGAAAGAGAAATGAGATATGTTTATGTGCTCATTTGAACCATATGTTAGCCATGTTGCTGAACCTTATATGATGTATCTATCATGCTGGAAATTGAGTAAACTTAGAGCTTTTATTCTAGTTACTTTTTTAGCCTTTTATCATGTGTTATTGAATTGGAGAGAGAAATGAAAGGAATTGAGGCATGTATACTGAAAAATCTTCGACATATGAATGTTTCTAATTTTGCTGTAGATCTTGATCATGCCTATATTAAATAATTTTTAGAGCCTTGCATGAAGTACTTAATGCCTTTAATGTGACTATTTGGTTGTTTGGTTTCACAATGATTTTCATGAGGTTGAATATGATTTTATGAAGTGTTTAAGGTGCTTAAGTTTCAATTTAATTGGTGATTAGCATGTTAAGTTTAGAAGAAGAGCATATATGTATGTTTTGCTTATAATATGAGACAAGAGCATAGGATAAGGGAGGCTAGTATGTTGATTGTTGCCTCGTTGATTTTTGTTCTTGTTGTGTGTTATGCTTGCCGTTGTGTGGCATAATCAACCAAATCAAAACCCCTAACAATATTAATAATTAAATCCTTGATTGTTAGGTTTCTGAGGAGTCGAGCCCTCGGACCTACCGTGAGCTTTTGCATAATTTTCAATGCCGGATCAGGTGGGTTATTCAAAATTTGTCTATGCCTTGAATGATAATTTATTTATTTATGTGGGTATGATCAATGTATGCATGTGAGCATGTAATCTTCGATGTGAGCTGTACCGGCCGTCGAACGGTTATCCCCGTAGCTATAGAACGTACCCCGCAAGGGTAATCTCCACGTTTGTCCTTTGCTAAGGACCACGTCATCTGTAAGACCTTGGCAATGTGCCCTGGCCGGTGATGGATATCCTGTCCAAGCACTAGGTGCGTGCTGTGACGGTTGAGCCTCCTGCTGTTTGGGCACCCCATTTATGTTCGCCGAAAGGCATACGAACAGCAGTCTATTGTTATAGGTGTGCACATAAGAATTACTTTGGTTAGGAGATAGGATATTTATTGACTATGTTCATACTGCGACCATGCCATTTAATTTCTCGTACTTTATTATTATTCATGTGCATAGTAGTGAGCACTACAGTTCACTGTGCTCACTCCCACCTGCTCTTCACGGATGCAGGTTAAGCAGGTGTTGGCTGACGAGATAGAGACGAGTGGTGTTGGTCTTTGATTGACTTCATTTAGTTTATTCCGCATGCTAGTAGACTTGAGTTTATTTATGCTTATTCATGACTTGAGAACTTTGGTATTTATGATTTATGACTTTGGAATTTTGAGAACTTTGGATTGGGAGATGTTCCCTATGAACAATTTAGATGAAACTGGGATTTATGAAAACAAAGGATTTATGATTTATGATTTATGCAAGTGTGATTTATGTTATTATGTAATTTAGTTCGAGTAGCGCCACTGATTTATGAAAAGAAATCTGAAAAATTTAAGTTGACTTTTTGAATAGCCTTTGACTTTCGCAAAATAAAAAGTGGGGCGTTACAATAATATAGGAAATATATTTTCTACTAATCTTCATCTTTTAGAAGACTCCCAAGTCTCCTAATCCCAAGAGAAGATTCTAGCAGGAATTTTATTCTCCTAATTAATTAATTAATATGAAATAAAATTAATTCTTATTTAATGAAATTAAATAATAAAACATCCCACTAGAGTAATATTATTGCTCTCCCCATTTAGCCACTATTTTACCAATAAAATCGAGCCTCCATGATTAAATAATATTAATCTGATTGATCGATTTACCTCCCTATTTTTAAGATATAACGTTCGTTGATTAATTAAATTACTGACAAAATAATTAATCAACTTCTTATTCATTTCCGAAATTAGTACCACTCAAACTTTAACCATTATGTCAGACAATCTTCTACCTGCAGGGTTTAACATAATGTTCCTTCCTGAGCTCATTTCGGGGACGTCATCAGTCCAGCGCACTAGAACATAGTGACTGTAAATAATTTATAACAGCACATATATAATTATTCTTACTTACCAAAATACCTCGTATGTCATCGTATTAAAATAGGAATCACTTGGTAAATCAAATAAATAAGAAATAAAAATATATGCTTATTTTATATTATCTTACAGCTTAAGAGAACGCATCAATCACTGAAGGTCTAGGTTACGACAACGGTCAGTGAGTCTCATATCCTTATCCTTCTGTGGTCCTGTTCAACACTTAACATAAGTGCTAGTGTAATCCTTCAGTCAAAGACCAACTGAATCGAGAATACACTACAGTCTTTTTCCAAGTGGGGTCTCACTGCCAGTCTAGACTGTGAACGAATAGTTAAGTCTTATAAGGAACCGATAGGTGATCT